TATAACTTTTAATATTTGTAAATACACCCCCATAACTTTTAATATTTATAAATATTATATATATATATATATATATATATTTTCAAAAAAAATCTAATTTTAATATTTATAAATAGACCCCTATAACTTTTAATAATTGTAAATACACCCCCATAACTTTTAATATTTATAAATATGGCCCCGTATCCGTATCCTACTTTTTTTGGTTTTGACGTATCCCCGTACCCGTTTCCGCGTTTCCGCGTTTCCGCGTACCGGTATCGGTGCTACATAGGCCATCACAACCTCCCCCATCTTCCTCAACAACTCTGCTTCGTGTGCACATCCAGTAGCATACACGCCATTTAAACGCTCGATTTTGTTTATGTATGGACAATTTTGTTTTGTTCTTTAAGGTTTTTTGTTTGTAGCACACACAAAAGAAATTGTGTATGGAACAGACAATTCACTTTACAAAGTGAAAAATTGTCTACCCACAGATAAAACCAGACGTATAAATAACATGTATATTGCCAAATCTCTTTTCTTAGGAGAAAGCACAATACACTTTTCCCATACCCCTTCCTAAGGCACCATTCTTATATTGCCACCCCCTACTTGCTACAACCTTTTTCTTTCCCACATGATATTGCTTCATCACCTCCTTCGGTTCAACCAACTTCATTGATATAATGATATCACCCCTCCCCCTCTCACCTCAACTTCCCCAACCACTCCATAAACCTCCTCACTCAGTCCCTGACCAAATCCCCAAGTTCTTGTTACGTTCTCCACTTCTCCTACCTTTAGCCATGTCACGTATAGTATGACTTCACTGGGACCTAATTCTCCTAAAATGTATCATGGAGAAGTGATCATATTTCCCATCTAACCATTCGCGTGTGAAGCTGGAAAATTTAACCTTTTGTATTTAAACTCATCCAATTTCCAATTTCCTTCTCAAAAAATGTTAAGCTACGTCAAAACAAACATATTAAGGCCTTGTTTGAAAAATTACTGATCAACCAGTTTTTAACTGAGTTTTTTACAAGAATATTACTAAAGAATATTACTAAAATAAATATGACTATTCATTACTACAATGTGGTGTTGTGGTAACTTGAGCTTAAAATTTGAGCATGAATTACTATGATTTCATTAGAGAGTGACTAGTCATATTTTTGTAAATCATGTTTATGTAATTATTTCTTGAATTAACTGATTGGACCCTATCAGCCAAAAACGGAAACGTTGCGTACTCCAGCGTTTGGATTCGGCTGGTGCAATTTCTGCCTTTAATGTCCTTCACCGCTCACGCTTGGTTTTTTAATATGCTTCTAATTTCTACGGAGTATTAGTTAGCTTTGTATGTTTTTTTAATTGCTCTGCATTTGTTTTTAATATCCACAATGCGCACTTTTTTGGGGTTTTGTATCTACAACATTCGTTTCTAATTGCTATGTTAGCTTTGTATGTTTTTTAGTTGCTTTGCATTCATTTTACATGTTTCATTTTAATATCCGCAATGTGCATGTTTATTAATTTCAATTGTTTCTTTTTTTTTATTAAATTTAGTCTCATTTTCAATATGTATTCATACGAGTATTTATTAATATCACGAAATTAATTTTTAATTTCGTTTTCAATTCTTTGTTGACTTTGAATTGCTGGGAGGGATGGATTACTAGGCATAAATTACTGAATTTGATCCATAAGAGCATGCAATAATGAATTTACGTTTCTTTTTTCCGACTAAGAATTTGAGTTTTTTCCCGAAATAATGCTAATTAAATAAATAATTCCCAAAATACTGTTGGGTTAAAAATAATTCCCAAAATATTGCCGGGTTAACCGTGGTTAAGGAAAGCCGCCACTTAAGCCGCCACTTGAAGTGGCGGCTCTTCTCTTACAATACAAAAGCCGCCACTCCAAGTGGCGTCTCTTACAGCACATTTTGTACATATTTTTAACTATTTTTTTAACTATCTTCCCGATTGAATTTTGAGCTGAAATTTGGTATGAATAAACTAGACTTGATGAGGAACATGTTCAAAAAAATTCATCAAAAAAATTCACCGAGAAGACCCTCTGATAGTGTTGTCCGCACGGGGGTTCCGGTCAGGACGTCGTGATAGGAATATGACATTTTTATGAAATTTGAGGTGCTTCCGAGTTGAATTATTTGATGACATTTGGTGATCATGTTCTTCCTAAAGTGTAGGTTATGTTCACCGAATTTCAGATTAAAATTAAATCAAGAAGTTAGTTAAATTATTTATTGAAAAAAACCCTGCATTTTTAGGCCTAAAAGATTGTGCAATTTTAAAAAATTCATTTAATTAACTAACTTCCCGATTGAAAGGAACCAACTGCAGATTCGAGCTATCACTGTCATCATTATGCTCTTACCTCTTTCTCTTCCACTTACTAAATAAATATGAACTCTCTTTGGGCAGTTTATGGCCATTGGAAATAAATAGCTTCAACACCCATATCAACTTTAGCAACCGGTACTATTGCTCTAAGTTCCAATTGCATAATCACAACTTCGTCCGATTCACTTGAGCTCGTGTCTGGAAGACGATGGTAAATTCAAATTTTGTAATCTAGAGAAGCATGTGTAATCCTACAACATACTTCGTACAAACTATTGATAGAAATGCTCAAAGTAATGTAAACATGGAATTGCATATCATATATAACACATGCAGCTAAAACATGATGACTTATGGATAAATTATCAACAAATATGAAACAATAAGAAATTATAAAACATTGCTTCCGGGAAATAATATACCAAATGATCTAGTTGCATAATTTCTAAAATTTTCGTTACAAAAAATTTGTCATGTGCCTTCTGAAAATGTTCATGTAAGATAGGCCTAACAGTTGCAATTTTAGGCCTATTTCATTTGAGCTATTTCCGGGTCGAATTTTTTGATGAAATTTGGTGAGCATGTTCCTATGGAATGTAGATTATGTCCACCAAATTTTAGATTAAAATTCAATTGGGGAGTTAGTTAAATAAATTTTTAAAAATCGTATAATTTTTTAGGTCTAAAAATGCATTTTTCAATAAATTATTTAAATAACTTCTTGATTTGATTTTAATCTGAAATTCGGTGAGCATAACTTACACTTTAGGAAGAACACGATCACCAAATTTTATCAAAAATTTCGACTCAGAAGCAACTCAAATTTCATAAAAATGTCGCATTCTTGTCACGACGTCCTGACCGGAACCCCTGTGCGGACAACACCATCAGAGGGTTTTCCCGCTGAATTTTTTTGATGAATTTTTTTGAGCATGTTCCTCATCAAGTCTAGTTTATTCATACCAAATTTCAGCTCAAAATTCAATCGGAAAGATAGTTAAAATAAATTGTTTAAACATACTGCATTTTATATATGTACAAAATGTGCTGCAAGAGAAGAGGCGCCACTTGGAGTGGCGACTTTTGTACTGTAAGAGAAGAGCCGCCACTTTAAGTGGCGGCTTTCTTTAACCACGGTTAACCTGGCAGTATTTCGGGAATTATTTTTAACCCAGCAGTAGTTTGAGAATTATTTATTTAATTAGCATTATTTCGGAAAAAAACTCTAAGAATTTATACTCACTTTTGATTTCTTTTTCCCGTCCTGGCCTTTGGTTGAAGTAAAATGATTTATACTTTGTAAATAAATGTAGGTAATATTGTTTTTATATGCAATAACTAAAAAAACTAAATACTAATAATGTCCTTATATGTCTTTTTACACGCAAACAGTTATTCTCAAATAGCTAATTTACCAAACATTTACAGACAACAAGCTAGCATAATCAGCCAACTAAAATAGCTAACTCAACCAGATATTGTTAATCAGCTGTCATAACCAGCTAATAACTAACAACCGATTACCAAATTAAACATCATTTAAAACTCGGGTACAATAAAATGTTAAATAGACGTTTTGAACTTACCATTATCCACAAATAAGAAGGTCCCATTGAACCAAATGCTTGTGCCACCTTCTGTTTCACACAACTCATGAGCATTTTGCGTATTTTGAGTTAAAACTCGGGATGTTTCAATGGGACGTCCGATCCATTGGTTTTGCAAGTCCATGAATGATAAAAAATGCAGTGCTCAAATGATCATGGACCTTGTGATGGGGATTCCCAATTATTAAAGAAATTAGGTCTAACTAGGTCTGACTGATATAATTCGAGTTTAAACTACTATACACTGGACTAGAAATTGTTATCATAAGAACTCTCGATTATAAAGAATGTGACTTAATAACTTTTAGTGATTGTCAAAAAAATAATTTTTAGTGACTTATGTTTTTCAAATTTTACATCATAGTGACCATAAAATTATACTCATAGTCCATAAGTCACATCTGTGTACACAAGTTCTACTTAGTACGGAGCATTATTTTTGGAAAAATATCATTTTGTTATCATTTTCTTTTATCGAATGTTCTGAAATTTTCTTCAATGTTCTTTTTAAGGGTTTAGAAAGAATGATTTTCTTATACAAAACATTACTTTTAAGGAATGATTTGTGTGGTCAATACTATTTCATCTTTTTCTACCTAAATTGAAATCATATATTTCTATTTTTTTAATAAACATACGGGTCAATTCAGAGTGAGAAGACCATTTTTTGGGACAAAGGTATAGTAGTGCCAGTATATCTTATAATCTGATTGATAAATGTAATTACTGACTAGCCGTTCTTTTTGTCTTAAGCTTCAAGTGTAGTTGGCCTTAGCAATTTAGTAAATCTACAATGACACAAAATTGTTACTACCAATTGTTCCCTAGCTTCCCGTGAACACCCACCTTGCCATAAACTAACTAACCCTTAGTGTGTACATCAACTCTATTGGTTGACTACCTTGAAAGTATAGCTTCCCTCTTATGCTTAACTTGATAGGCAAATCAAAAGTTCCCTTAAATACTTATAAAGTTAGGTTTTGAAGTGGACACCATAAACGTTATTTAAATTCCCAAACATTACTATTCCCCAAGTCCTCCTATCCCATAAACCTTAGATCACTATCCCATATCATTATTATTTCAATAATTTTTAGCCCTCCTATCCCACTCTCCCATATCATAATGGAAACCTCTATTGGTCATGTCCTCCCTGGATTAGGCTTCTTTTTAGTAGGACTATGGCACATGCTGAACCAAATGAAACTTCATTTCTCCCAACCAAAATCCCACTTGTGTATTCAATGGTTTCCCTCTCCAAGAATAAGATACATTGAGCTCTTCCTAATAATCTTGGGCAGCTTAGCCTTTCTCTCCGAGGAGATCTTTATAGGCCTCCAAAGGCGCACCCTTTTCGACCCCGATGGAACGATTCCTTTCAGCAAGCTCCGCAAGTTCGAACATGCAAACATCGCCATCACCATCTTCATGTATGCAGCCTTAAGCATAATTTTGGACAAGGTCAACCCACCAGCTAAGTATGGGATGACTCAACTTCTTGGTGCTGTTATTTTTGGTCAACAGCTTTTAAATTTCCACTTCCATTCGACTGACCATATGGGGGTAGAAGGGCAGTACCATTTCCTTCTACAAGTCTTCATTCTTGTGTCGTTTGCAACTACCATTTTGGGGATTCCTTTCCCCCACAGCTTCATGAATGGCTTTGTGATGTCTTTTAGCATTATGCTCCAAGGATTTTGGTTAATTTTAATGGGGGTCATGCTGTGGACCCCACAGTATATCCCAAAAGGCTGCTTCTTGAATGAGGATGATGATCAATATAGGCATCATGTAGTGATGAGGTGCCATGATGATGAAGCTACAAAGAGAGCCATTTCCCTTGTCAATATTCAGTTTGGTTGGTGTGTAATTGGTTTCACTGTTTTTGTCACCCTCCTCTACTTGGTCTTGTTCAAATGCTACTCATATAGAGTTCCATACAATCTGCTACCAACGAAATTTGAGGATAGAAAAGACGAGTTAGTTCTTCAAGATGCAACTTGAATCATATACTCGTATATATGATTTCATGGAGATAATAATATGTGCCATCTTATATGTGACAAAACTGTTTCTTTATCATTTTTAGTACACATTGTACAGAGATTACTCCTTCGATGGGTCCTTCAGTTCAACTAGTCATGTTTGCAAATGGTTTGCAACTTCCATGTAAGACAGCCACAGAATCAAAAATATCCTTTCCAATAATCAAGGTTGCATATTTATTCAATTAATGATATACTCCTAATTATTTTATTAGGATAGCTTTATGATTTATATCTTGCATATATTATTCTGGGGAAGATCTACGTTGGAGCTATGGTCGGCTAAAATTTAAGGAAACTTAATTTTTTTTCAATTTTGTTAATGTAAAGAGCCTGTAATAAGAATATGTTAGTGGTGAGTTGGGTGTGGTGGCAGCCTGTGTGCGACTTAGAAAGGTTGGAGAATAGCTGCTGTGAGAGGTGTTATTGTAGTAGCTGCAGGTCGGTTGGATAGTACTGGTTGGGGCTGGTAGAGCTGGTAGGACAGCAGTCCTCCGAGGGTGATCGGAGACTGAAGAGGATAGCCAAGAGGAGGGAAAAGTGGTTGTCGGGGAAGAAGATCAGCTAATTAAAGAGTTATAGGGAAAATTATTTTCGTGAAAAATTACATCCCAACTGACATAAACTCGGCCTGTAGAAGGAGATAAGCAACGATACCCTTTATAACCCGGAGCATACCCAAGAAAAACACAGTGTGTAGAATGTGGTGATAGCTTATTGTGGGAGGCAACAATAAAATTATGAAAGCAAGAGCAACCAAATACACGCATGAAATTATAATCAGGCAATTTTTGAAAAAGTTTTTGATATGGAGATACTCCATTCAAAATGGGGATATGTAAACGGTTAACAATAAAAGTGGCGGTGTAGAGAGCATCTACCCAAAAATGACTAGGAATAGAAGCATCAATCAATAAAGTCCTACTCAATTCGAGTAAATGTTTATGTTTGCGTTCAGCCACCCCATTTTGAGCACGAATATGGGGTCAAGATTTTCTAAATAAAATGCCTGAATTTAAAAAATGCGTGTTAAACTGAGAGTTATCAAATTCACCCCCTCCATCACTTTGAAAAATTTTTATTTTGGCATTCAAAAGATTTCCAACCAGTTTTTGAAAATTAATAAAATGTGTAAAAAACTCAGATTTCCTACGCATGGGATTAACCCAGGTATATCTATAGAAATCATCAATAATAGACAAATAATATTTAAAACTCAAATTAGAAACAACTGGTGACTGCCAAACATCAGAACGAATAATTTTCAAAAGTGCAGAGGTATCATGAATAACATCAGAAAACGGAAGTCTGTGGGATTTACCCAACTTACAAGAAACACAATCATGAGTAAAAGTTGAAGAACTAGTAATTAATTTATTTTGGCTAAGAGTACAAATAACTTTATCACCACAATGTCCTAAACGCTTGTGCCAGACAGGACCAGGTACAACTCGGGCTTGAAGGACAGTAAAAGGGTAGACATGATCTTTATTAGTGGCCTGAAGAAGAAGCTCCCCCGTTTGATTGTCCTTAACAGAAAAAGAATTTTTATCAAAAATCACTTGACAGGCATTATCCGCACACAATTTTTGTATAGAGAGTAAATTGTATTTAATGTGTGGGACATGATAAACAGAATTAAGATGTAGCGGGCGACCAGATGTGATTAATTTAACGTGACCAATATTAGAAATATCTAATTTGGTACCATTAGCAACACAAACTTGTACGGCCCAACATAAGCAAATTTAGAAGTTAAAATACCTTCATGCAGAGTCATGTGCGCGGAAGCCCCAAAGTCAGGATACCAGACTGAATCATGTGTCTCGCCAGTGGGAAAAGCCGCAAGAACAGGAGTATTTTGTGAGGTAAAACGTGAGGAAGTGATGCCAGAGTGACCTGGAGAGAAGCAAAGCTGACAGACAACTGGCGGAGCAGGAGATGGATAGGAGTTCTCAACAGGTGGAAAACCTGCACTAACATTACGAGTAACACAAGTAGGAAAGTGATTAGTAAAACCATAACCAGAATTAACATTATTAAATACCAAACTTGCGCCACCAGGGTATGGATGTCCACGTGGAGGAGCCAGATGTCCATAAGGTACCCCATACGTCGAATATCCTCCAAACTGATGCTGATACTGCTAATGTTGGCCTCGGCCACCCCTGCCACGACCGCCCCGAGGTCTGCCGCCTCGGTTACCGCGACCGTCGTGTCCCCGAGGTGCTCTTGGACCATATCCCTGTGGAGCAGGCCCTCAGCCTTGGGGAGGTGGAGCTGCCGCGAAAGCTTGGTGAATAGTGGACGGGTCTTGGGACTGAACAGTAGTAGCCCGATGCTCCTGTGCCTGAAGAATTGGCCGCAGAGACTCCAAAGTGGCATTCTTAGGAAAATAAGATATAGTTGTGATAAGCAATTCATATTCACGTCCCAAACCCAAAATAGCATATTCCATCAGGTCACGAGTACCAACATGGGAATTAATCATAGAAAGTGCATCAGCAATCAACTTAATTTCCAACAGATATGGGTTCATAGTCTGTGATTCTTTCTTTTTAATATGTGACAAAGACCTCTTATGTTTAACAGACCGCGCAAAACAGGAAGACATAAATCGCGTTTCAAGACGCTCCCAAATTTGATGAGAAAATTTCAAGTCATATACTTCCATCAAAATATCCCTAGCCAAAGTAGCAAAAATCCAAGACCTAACCGTTTGGTCAATTTTCATCCAGTGTTGATAGTCCGGATTTGTTACAAGCGGTACTTTTGGGGAGCCATCTAGGATCCCCAAAAGACTGTGAGAGACCAAAAATGACTCAAATTGGGTACACCACGGTAAATAATCTTCAATGGCAGACAGTCGGGTAGTAACAATATTAGTCACATTCGGCGTAGAGAAAGTCAATTGTGAAGATAAGGCAGATAAAGAACCTGTAAATTTTGCAGAGCCCGACTCGGCCGAGATATTGTCATGCGGCAGAGAGGTCGCCGGCTGTTGGGCAGTGAACGTCGGACCGACGAACCTCATGGAGGAGGGACCAGGTTCCGGAGGGGCATTCAAGACCGGTGGTGGAGGATGACTTGTTGTCGGTGTCTATGAAAAAGGTGTCGGCATGCCAAACAAACGATATGAGTCAAGAGGCTGAGGATCAATACGCTGCCGAATGGGACGGGGCGAGCGAAGACCATGGTAACGATGCAGTCGGCACGGAGAAGGGGAGGGAAGCTGCCTGCGAGGTTGTGGCGCTATTGGACTCGGAATCTGTCTGAGTTGTGCTGACGACGATTGATGAAGTATGCCACACCGGGGTGGAGGGCACTTGGGACCAGAGCTCTGGAATCACCGGCGGCTACTCATCCTGTGAGGATAGCGCCTGGGAGGCGGCGGCAGTATTGCCAAAGTCGTGCCTGAGAGAGAGAGAGAGAGAGAGAGAGAGAGAGAGAGAGAGAGAGAGAGAGAGAGAGAGAGAGAGAGAGAGAGAGAGAGAGAGAGAGAGAGAGAGAGAGAGAGAGAGAGAGAGAGAGAGAGAGAGAGAGAGAATTTCCCAAATTATAAACAATAATAAATAAAAAAAACAATGATACGTAGTATTAGACTTTTGAAAGAAAGACATAATTTTGATTATTAGAACTAAATTGTCCTTGCACTGCGGTTTCTATTTTGCATTAGAATTTTCGTTATTTTTCATACTATAGAAATGGACAAAATTTTTGTTATGAACTAGAATAATTATGTTCAACGTACGTTACTCGTGCCACGTAATTTGTTGATACTTGTTAGAAATATAAAACTTTCATGTCCAAATATGAAATATATTTGAAGTATTTTATTTCATCCTTCAACACATCTCGATCTACTTAATAATTTGATTTACATATAGAACTTTTATAATGGAAAATTATAAAAAATCAAAGTGTTTGACCCTAATTTTTCACGAATTAATACATTTCTTGTCAAAACTTTATGCTAATTTTGTGCAAAACCTTTGATCAAAAATTAAAAAAGCTCACTAATATAATTATGTAAGGCTAAGTAGGGTCTTACGTATTAGACATAGAGAACTTCAAGAATTCATGTGATCTTTAGGGTCAAAACAAGTTAAGCATTGACAAATATTCAAAGAAAACATTTATAAACTTATTTTTTATGCTACAATCACAATAACTAATCGTAATTGGTGAGAAAAGTAATGATTAAATTATATCTATGTATGAATTTTATTCAAGACCTCTAATCTTAGAGAAAGATAATTCATAGTACGTTAACAAAGAAGTCTTCAAACTGTTTCAATTATATGTCTAACTGTCACCTAAGGAATCATTCAATCACAACTCTGTGATCGTTTACATATGGATCTCACAACAATTGTCATGTGCTATTTTAAATCAATAGACAAAAATGTAATCATTTTAAGAGCTCGTTTGGTAGTTTACACGTTAAATCTTTGTACACAAAGTGATTGCATGCAAAGTATAGGGAAACAATCATTTTTCATGTAAAATATATTACATTGTTTGGCTATATGTGTAATTAATTTTTAAATTGCACGCAAAGCAGTTGCAGTGTTTCATAAAAGGCATGTAAAGTATTTTACCACCCTCCCCAACGTAAAATATTTTACATGATACAGTGCGAAATGTATTAAAAAAGTGTCCTAGAGTTTACATTAAATAATCAAACCAAACAGTGTAAACATTTTACGTCCTTACACTTCGCTTGCAAAGTAATTATTTTACATGCTACCAAACGCCCCCTAAATGTAATACTTTTGCACGTATTAAACTAGTGATACATGTATTACTCTCTAAACCTCATAAGATATACACTTTTGTTTAGTGAAAGATATACACTTTTTAGAGAAAAAGATATGCATATTCTTATTTATGTACTGTCCTAAAACTCCTAATCTTATTAGTCGGGCCATTTCTTCCACTAATATGCAAAGCTCATTTATTTTTCGTTCAATTTGCTTACTTTTGTACATAGCCAAATAAGTATTTGCCTATCGCCGTCTATGGTGGTTCTACCTTTCCCTATCTGACGTAGCAAATAAGTTCCCCATTTCAAGAAAAGTCTTCATTTCGCCATTTCTCCCAACCTTTCCTTTCATCTGAGACTCAACATCCTCGACGGCTTCAGTTTCATGATCATCTTCTTCATCCATCTTCTCTGCTAACAATGATCGGTACCCTACCTTCTCATCTTCATGGTGGTATATCTTGAAAACAATCAAGTAAAGAGAGACGGTAAAAATGGTGACCCCAATAACGTACCAGCTAAACTGGATGTTGACCATGGATTTGGCGCGTAGGAGAGCTTCTTGGGTGTGGCATCTCACCACTTGGTGCCCTTCCTCAGAGTTGATGAAGCAGCCTTTGGGGATGAGCTGTGGGGTCCACAGCATGACCCCCATCACCATGAACCAAACCCCTTGGAGGATTATACTGTAGGACCTGACAAAGCTGTTGAAGAAGCTCTGTGGGTAAGGAATGCCCAACAGGGTGGTGGCTAAGGACAGAAAGATGACAATTTGGAGAAGCCAGTGGTACTGCCCCTCCACCCCCATGTGGTCAGCAGAGTGGAGGTGGAAGAGCAGAAGCTGCTGCCCGAAAGCGATTGCCCCGAGGAACTGGGCAAGAGCGTTTCGGGCAGGAGCGGTGGCCTTGTCCAAGATTACGCAGAAGACCGCGTAGACGAGGAAGGTGAACGAGATGTTTGAGTGCTCGAAGTTGTGGAGGTGGTCGGAGGGGATGGTCCCATCCGTGTCCAAAGGTTGGTGCTTTTCGGGACCTATGAAGAGCTCCATGGATATCGAAGCTAAGCAAGCACCCATGATGAAGAATAGCTCCAAGTGTCTGATTCTTGAAGTTGGAAACCATGGGAGAGAGGTGAAGGCCTTTGGGCTTCTAGCATGGACCCTTATGTGGTTCACCAAGTGCCACAGCCCAATCATAAAGAACCCAAACCCAGGTGCCACGTGTCCCACCAATGTCCCCATTTCAGGCCCTCTTCAATTCTGCCTTCTTTTTATTATGGCCTAGCTAGGATTGAATTGTCTGTCTTAAAATTAGAGAACTAGAAAGAGAAGAACAAAAGAATTGAATTGAGTTAATTAAGTTGTATGAGATGGTGACTAATGGTTGGGAAGGGTCAAGGGGATTTATATAAAGATTTTGAGCTGTAAATAAAGAATTCGAACCATAGTATATATAAATGGTAGTCTTAGGTTCCGGAGGCTTCTATATGCGGGAGGGAGTTGAAAGTTTGAATATTTGGGCGGCCTTGAATTGGCTGCTTGTCTAATTAAACTAGTGTTTGATGACTTTCCTAGAAAGGTTTGAATGAAAGTTCAATATTATATATTACTCTTAAAATTCGAATACATTGGTGTCAAAAAACCAAATATCGGGTATATTAGTTATGTTATGGTTCACCAAATACGAAGTATATATATACTCCACTTCCTAATTTCTTCAAAACGACCCTATAAATTTTTTATTGATATTAAGAAACCTCAAAAGTTAATCATTAAAATGTGTCATTTTTTAGAACTGATTGAGGGAGTATTATTATTGATGAATTGAGTCACAATAATATTTAAAAAGTCATTGATATCCTTATAGTTTGGACTTTGATATGATGACTAGAATCTAAGGGTGATTTTATAATAGTATATTAGTATATACTCCCTCCGTCCCATAAAATAGTTTCCGCATTGACTTGGGTCGGAGTTTAAGAAAGTGGGAATAAAGTGGAAATGTATGGTTGTGGTTGTGTAAGAAAAAAGTAAATGAATGTGAGTCACACAAAACTTTCCAAAAGAGGAAATGAGAACTATTTTTTGGGACGGTCCAAAAAGGAAATCGGGAACTATTTTGCGGGACGGAGGGAGTAGATAGTACTAGTAATATATTCACCATATTCAAAATCTGAAACAAGAGGGCGCATAGGGCTCAACATATTTCAATCTAGACCAAACTAGATATGAAATAACGTATCAGTTCAATTGTCACCCCGTTGTTGAAGACTTTATAGTTCTGATTTGATTTGGTCGATTTAAATATGGAAATTTGCACCAGAATTTAAAATATTAGTTGTTTAATATATTCTTTGTCTAATACTGGTATATATTTAAGAAATAAAATATTAGTTTTATGTAAATAAAAAACTATGCTTTAAATAAAATCAATTGCCTAAAAGCCAAAGGGTATGTTTGGCAAATGGCTTATCAGCCGGCTTTTAGCTTGTTTGACCCATTTCAGCTGTTTGATTGGTCAAAGAAGCTAATAATGATGTTTGGTAAATGACTTTTAAAATTAGCTTGTTGAGTTTGAAAAGCTGAAAAATAGATTGTTGAAGAAGCTAAGGGGGGCAACTTATTCATTCGGCTGGTTCAATTTACACTCTATCAGCCATTTCGAAACAACCAATTTTACCAAACAGTTATCTATAATCAGCTAACATAACCAGCCGGTCAAAACAGCTAACACAACCAGCTGTTAGGAAACAGCTGACACAACCAGCTAACAACAACAGCTAACAGCCATTTGCCAAACATACCCAAAAGGTTCAAAAAACAAAGAAATAGTTAGATACATATATGATTAAAATAAATTTTGTTTACAAAAGTCGATATCCTAAACAATTACAAAACTCGATATAAGTGTAGTATATTAGTCATAATAATGTATATTCAATTTTTACAGTTAGGTTACTATTAGTCAAACATCTAACCTCAATTATATCAATTCGGTTTAGGAACTTTGTTTTGGAACTTTGTTTTGGGTCATCTAGGTGTTTCCCATATGGTGCCTCTTGGAAGAACATGCCCTCAAAAAATGAGACTAAGAATGTTAGATTTCTTCTATCGTTAATTAGTGTTCAAGGATCCGGAACCTCTGCCATACTTCAAAGTAAGGCACGGTGCCTGGCCCTCGGGAACCATCCGATCAAAAGATGGACGGTCGGAGATGTTGAAGCCCAGATCTCGAGGCCGCTCTTCCCCCATCCGACGGTCCTCTGCGCGCAAGGCACTCTGCCGTGCGGCAGAGGATCCCAATCCAGTGTTCAATGGAGGCCGCCCTAGCCGTACGTGGCTCTTCTACATCCAATAAGGGTGTTTGGAACTGATTCTGCTTCTGCTTCTTTTTTAAAACAGAAGCAGAATCAGAATCAGTTTTCAGAAGCTGGTCACTTCCAGCTTCTAAAAAACTGATTCTAGGAGTAAATTTGAGTACCAGAATCATTTCTGCACTTTCATCCAAACACTCTAACTTCTGCTTCTGCTCCCTGAAGGAGCAAAAGCAGTTTTAAGAATCAGATCCAAACACCCCCTAAGATTCTTTGAAATGGGAATTCCTAGATTGTCTAGATTTAAATTTTATTTCTACCAAATTGGTAGTCATGAAAAACTAGATAAAATAAATTATTGAAAACACGTAAAAAAAATAAAGACTCCTTGAATGATAAATATGAAGTTCATATTAATTAAGACATGTAAAAGAAGATCGATAGCAGATATGTCCTGTCGTCTCTATTTCGAAAAGGTTTGTCATATTGACTTTTCTTTATTAAAATAGATTATTATTGATTAAGAAAAATAAATTTGACGAACGTTTCCAACGAGGATGGGAAAAAAATCAACCCGCCACTTACTTTTGCACCGCTTTTTCTTTGACTGAAATTTCTCTCATGATGTTAAATAAATATTAGTTATTAATATTAGTTATTACGTAGCAATATTTATTCTATTTATTAACTTTAACACACCTACAGAAGCATAGCTTCCTACAGGTGTTAGGTTTTTGCGTACGTATTATTTTAGTCCAATTAGGACTTGTGTTGCTTTCGGTTGTCTATATATTCCCAAATCCCAACCATGCTTGTTGTACCACCACTTTGTACCCACCTTATACCCACCTCTGTGAAAGCTATTTTTTTGTCTGTGAAGCCGGTTCACACACAAAATATGTCTTTGAATTCCTTCATAGACATATTTTGTCTGTGAAGGAATTCACAGACAAAAAAAAATAACTTCACAAACATGGGTGGGTACAAAAGTGGGTATAAAAGTGGGTACAAACATCATTTTCCATATATTCCAGCAGTAAGCTGAAGAATAAACAAGACCTTATTTTCCACAATACTTGTTTCGTGTTTTTCATGGTATCAGAGCCCTGCTCTAGTGAGCAGCGTTAAACATCGGCTAAACTGATATGGCCTGCGATAAAGATGACGAAGATAGCAACGCCAGAACTTCCCCCATAAAAATTGATTATACCTCCCCATTTTACCTTGGACCCCAAGATCGACCGGGGAATTGTGTTACTCCCATTCGACTTAACTGGGAAAATTACGACGATTGGGCAGGTTCCGTGTGTCTGGCGCTAAGAGCACGTCAAAAATTCATTTTTGTAGCTGGCGTACAAAACCTACGAAAATCATTGTACGGAGGAAGACCGGCACACCATTCATTCCATGCTTGTGTCGTGGTTAATGAATGTCATAGCACCGGAAGTACGAAGTACTCTCTCTCAATACGAAGATGCAAAGCTCTTATGGGAGGATCTAAAAGAAAGATTTTCTGTCGTTGATGGACCGCGGATTCATCAATTAAAAGTGAACATAGCAAGATGCGAGAAGTCGGCCTCTACGACAGTTGCAAAATATTACAGACAATTAAAGATGTGGTGGGATGAATTAAATAATTACGAACCGCTCTTGGCATGTACATGTGGGAAGTGTACATGCAAACTTGGAGAATTACATGTTCAGCGACGTGAGTCGGAGCGCTTTCATCAATTCCTAATGGGGTTGACTCTTGAATTCTATGGCCAAATACGCTCTAATTTGTTATCTCAAGTACCTTTACCGACCTTGAATAGAGCATATCAGCAGATCACTCAAGAGGAGTGCGTCCGTGGATCTATACAGAAGAAAGAGAATAAACCCGAGATAATGAGCTTTGCGGCAATGAATGTGGGCAAAGAAAATCAGAAAGCTCCTAAAGTTGACAAGTCAGGAGTGGTTTGTACCCACTGCAACTTTTCGGGCCATGAGATTACGGGTTGTTTTCAGTTAATTGGTTATCCGGATTGGTGGGGGGATCGGCCACGTGGAAATATTAAGGGCGCTGGACGAGGAAAAGGAGGAACGGGGCGTGGACCTGCTGCCGTAAAGGCACATGTAGCGGCAAGCTCGGTCCAGAAGGGTAATCCGCAGCACGAAACTGAAGCTTCTACCTCGGCGCTTCCAGGCTTCACCGCTGAGAAGTGACGGGCACTCACTGATGTGTTTGGTAAAAATACATCTTCTAAACACATGACCGGTAAGTTTAATTCATCTTTGTGGATACTTGATACCGGGGCAACCAATCATGTCACCGGAAGAATTGACTGTCTGACTGACATTTGTGATGTGAACGATTGTCCGGTCAACTTGCCGAACGGACAGATTGCGATGGCAGCAAAGGAAGGGACGATTGTATATTATCACAATTTGTCTCGTTGAAAAATGTTTTATATGTACCCCCAATTGCAATGCAACTTGATATCTGTGTCACAATTGACGGATAATTTAAATTGTGTAGTTCAATTTGTCACTAATATGTGTGTTATTCAGGACCAACACTCGAGGAAGCTAATTGGAACAAGTGAAAGATGGGATGGCCTGGACTATTTCAAGCAAGATTTTGGACAGTGTGTGGTGGTCAATGGACTGAATGGAGTGGATTTGGCGGTAGATCTGTGGCATAAAAGGTTGGGACACCCATCTGAAGATTTAATTAAGTCTTTGTCATCTCGTGGTAGTAGTGTTGTTTTTCCTTGCGACATTTGTTTTCGTGCTAAATAAACTCGTGAAGTTTTTCCGTTAAGTAATAATAAAGCTACAAGGATTTTTGAGTTGCTTCATATTGATGTATGGGGTCCTTACCCGACTGTTTCAACTTGTGGTGCTAAAAGTTTTCTCACAATTGTTGATGATTTTTCTCGTACTGTCTGGATATACCTCTTGGTTGATAAAAAGGAAGTGTACACACGTTTCATGTCATTTGTTGCTTTAATCAAATGTCAATTTTCTCAAACCATTTGTCGGGTGCGAAGTGATAATGGTACTGAGTTTATTTGTCTTAAGCAATATTTTGATGATAATGGGATAATATTTGAAACATCTTGTGTGGGGACACCTCAGC